TATAAAAGCTCATTAAAAAAATATAATATTCCACACCTTTTTTAAAGGAATTGTCAGATTTGTTGTTTCCAATATTTGTCGTGCCACTTTTTCTATTAAGGAATTTCCAAAAACTCCTTTCAATAATCTTTCGTAATCCAATGAAGTTTTGAAATATTGTCGCTTATATTCTCGATCACTGTCATTTTCCGGAAAATTGATGCTGCCTGTGATCCTGCCTTTAACAGCTTCGTAGAAAGTTTCAATAGTGATGCTTATTGAAGTTGAATGGATGCCATCATTTTGAAGAGTATACGAAGCATTTGTTATGTTTTTGTTGAAATTCATATTTATGTGATCAATAATTATTATCGAATGCTAAAGTGAATTATAATATTTAGAAGGAAATTGCATCTAATAAAATTATTAATTTGTTACACTTTTGTGTATAAATAAAACAGCAGCAACCAATAGAAATCTGCAGATGTTCATGCTTGTGTTGTAAATTTGTAACTTTACATGTTTCAAAATTTGCTTTTCCATTTATTAATCCGTATGGTCGTAATGATACAATAATTATAATGACATGTGAAAAAAATTGAAGCGTAAATTGTCAATCACAATCAAATGGAATAATGATATTTAACGAAATTTGACAAAAAAATTTGTTCACTTCTTAACTTAAACTCGGTTAATAAAAAATTCCCATGAGCTTCCCAGCACCGATTTTTTCTGTCCTTTAATCTTTGCTTCTAGAACGCCTTTCATACAAGCTCTTGATGGTAGACCATAAGGTAACGTAATGTCGGGAAATGAAAGGTCATTCAAATAATAACGACCCTTATAAAATTGATAAAATTGAAATGTTTTATAAATATCTAATCATTAAAAAATTATTTATAATCTCTCTCACCTGTTTTAAAGGCATTGACAGATTTTTTGTTTCAAAAATTTGTCGTGCCACTTTTTCTATTAAGGAATTCCCAAAAACTCCTTTCAATAATCTTTCGAAATCTACTGAAGTCTTAAAATATTGTCGTTTATATTCTCGATCTCTGTCATTTTCCGGAAAATTGATGCTGCATCTGATCCTAGCTTTAACAACTTCGTAAAAATTGTCGAACGAGACGTAAACCAAAGTTGCATGAACACCATCATTTTGAAGAGTATACGAAATATTTGTTACATTTTTGTTGAAATTCATATTTATGTGGTCAATTAT